CTTGATATCCTTTAATCAAAGTCTATAGGTTTTGGACACTTTTTTTTTTCTTCTTTTTTTTTCTTCAGTTAGGTGATTTTAAACTTTTATACTACTGACAAAACATTACGAGCCAACCATTTGATGAATAAGACGTTTATCTGACAAACTGCAGAATCTAATCCGATGAAAATCTTACAAACCTACACATCACAGTAACGGTTGCTATTGTGAGAAATAGGTAAAGATGGTCTTATTATCGGGAGATGCCAACCTCCTTGGCTCGACAATTGGAGAAAGCATAATGGTCAACTTGAATCATGTGTACCTTGATAACCAATCACATTATAGACTTGACAGAGAATTTCTGTCAGTGTTGTGCAATAGTCAGTCACTGGTTGTGCATATTGCTGAAATGAATAAGGAGTGCCATGAGCTAAATCCTACCTGTCTGTTGCAAAACTGTCCATGAATTCTCTTATAAGACAGCTATTTTTTCAATGTAAACTCAAAAAATAGACAAATCCAAAATTAAAGTTTAATGTAAAAAAATAATGAGTAGGATACTCTCTATTATTCCTGATTACAATTCTGATAAAACACACACACGCACACACACATACATATCTATGACACAAATACCATTTAGCCTAACAGCTTAGCTTATACAGTACAAATTTGCACTACCTTATGTATTCACAACACGCCGTTGCGCTTTGGGCGTCCCGAGTTCGAGTCCAGGCTCGCGGACCTTTCCGGATCCTGTCCCACTCTTTCTCTTCCACTTCGCTTCCTGTCTCTGCACTCTCCTATCAAATTAAAGGCGAAAACACCAAAAATAAATCTTTAAAAAATGTGTGATGTAATGATATCACATTATTCATTTATATTATTAATGTTATAATATAATATAATATAATATAATTAATATAATATAATATAATGAAAATGTAATTTTGTACAGTGGCCGAGAGAGCTCAACGCGCTGCAACTTCAGAAAACACAAGCAAATAGAAAAAGAACCAGCAAATTAAGAAAACATCTTCATCAGTTTGACAGCACATGTGCTGCAAATACTGGCAACACAACTAAATAAAGAACATGCTGCAAATCCTAACAAGAGTCACAGCACAAATAGGCTAAAGAAACACTCACAACCGCTCACAACCCAACCAAATACAGAAACGCGCAAGCAACACAAACCACAACAAAATTACCTCAACATAATTAAAATGAACTATGTTATATATTTGGGGTGGGGGTTCATATTTGACAGTGAGGGAATCGTAATCGTGAACGATTCACTGATCGAGTCTAATAATTCAAACCACTAACTCATGAGTCATGAGCGAGCCGAGGCTGTGTGGTGAATCTTTTTGACTGACTCATCACCCACCGATTCATTTTTTCGCAAAGCGAAAGAAGCCATTTTTTTAAATAGCTCAAACAGTTGGCCTGTCCTAATGATATCTGATAAATCGCATATGACACACACGAAGGTTTCCGAACCTTTCCTGCTGACCTTTGCAAACATTGCTAATAAAGAAAAACATTCGAGTTACAGTTCACCTTTGTGTTGTTTTAAAGGCGCTCTAATAATCTCGAGTTTATCTCCTCCCACACCTCATATTGCTCCAGAGAAAGAAACATGAACTGCAGTAAACTATTGTCTAGCTTGACACTTGCCGTCTTCACATCGCAGTGACTGACAGACACTAGATCGTGATGCGTCTGTGAGCTTTGATCTCGCGAACTGTCTCTCTCAAACACACAGACGTTCACACAGGTGTGTCGCCTCGAGGTAAGGGAGTATGTGGGTGGGAAGGTCAGAGAGTTCTTGGCTGTCTGTCTCTCTCTTCAGGGCAGCCGAAATCTCCCGTATTCTGTTTTACCTTCTCTTTTTGGGATCTGACGATGCGACTTCTAAGAAAGTGTTAGAGTTGCGTAACTTTTTATTCATTTCTGTGAGTGTCTAGCCTATGGGTTTTGCCCCGTGTCTATTAAAACATACGTTTAACACTTTTATTTTTTCCACTTAACAATAATTGCCTAATAGTGGACATACATGAATCACAAGGGAATTCTGTCATTTATCTTTTTTTTTTCCTGGAATAAAAATGTTGCACTTTGTCTTGTTAGGTAGCATTCTTGTGCTCTGAATAAAAAGTTTTATTAGACATGACACAATATAAAAAATATTTGGCTCTCAAGTGATATTTACACTAACGTTTAAAGTTTGTGGTCTGTAGTTTATTTGAAAGAAATTAATACTTTTATTCAGACATTTATAATGTTACAAAAGATTTCTATTTCAAATAAATGTATTAAAATAGAAAACAGCTATTTTAAATTGTAACATTTTATGATACAATTACGTTTTTTACTGTATTTTTGATCAAATAAATGCAACCTTGGTGGACATAAGTGACTCCTTTCAAAAACATGCTTACTGACCCCAAACATTTGAATGGTAGTGTTTATTAATTTCCTTCACAAATCATGTCTCATATTTTATCTCAATTTATTAACACTGATGACACTGTTTGTGTACTCGTACCCACGAGTACACTAAAACAAATAAAACTTTATTAGGGGCAAAAAAATGTTGGATGCAGTGGAAATGACACCACAACTGAGAAAAGCTGATAATATCTTCATGTAAAAAAAAAAAAGTTTCCAAGACATTTTTAATGTGACGGTTATTAAATCATATGAAAAAAAAGGTTTAAATTAATTTTAATAAAAAATTACCCCTGTGTGACTGATGTTAAAGAAACACCTTCATAGTCATTGGGTCCTGTACTTTCCGAGGCTCATATAAGTCCATTGTATAGACATGTTGTCTTGCCCCCTGTCCAAACTGGGCAAATCCACCCCCCTCTCTTTTTCTAGCTGAAGAGGGGGAAGAGTGTTTTTTGTGGAGGCGGTGAGGGCTGCTCGGCACAAAGCGCTCTGGCAGCACTTCAAACTACAGCCGCCGTTTGGCAAGGCCTCAGTGAAATTCCTCTCCCAACAGAAAAAAGAGGTGGAGGCAGAAAATGGAGACGTTCATAAAACTTCCAGAGTGCAAGTTAAAATGCTGATGCATTACAGCTCATTTAATGGAAAAACAATCTATGTTTGTACGGATATCGAGCAAACAAAAAATATGCAAAGAGCCTTAAAGATAACCTCAGATATAAAATGATGTACACCCGCCTGTAAACATGTAATCTATAAAAAGGTAACTCTATAAGGGGCAACAGTCATGCAGCTTCAACAAATCAATTAAAAAGCACATCAAACATGAGATTAATGCATCGTATCAGGACTGCTGCCTGTCTAAGTTAATTAAATCCAACTGACTTGAATCAGCCAAGCTCAAGACATCCATTAAGATAAACATGCTCTCTGATCCGAGGCTCATATGGATCCGATTTAGAAAAAGGGGGTAGCTAACAAACCCATATACGTGCACAAGTGCAGATTTCATCGCCTGCCCTCGTCCCCACACACATTCAGATAAGAGAACGGAAATCATCTCCACCCCTCCAAGGCTGATTCACTGATAATGAATCTTCAACTGTGATTTCACACAGACATAAGTGGCCTCCAGAGAAGTGGAAATGAATGGCAGGGAGCAGAGAAGGCAAACTCTGACCCAGTTAAACACATTTACGTTCATAGGCATCTTATAACTGCACATAGTCAATATGGATTGTACTTCATAGATAGTACTTTAAAGATTAAAAATCTGCTAACATTTACTCACCTTCAGCCTCAGGCCATCCAAGATGTAGATGAGTTTTATTGGAACAGCCTCAGGCCATCCAAGATGTAGATGAGTTTGTTTCTTTATTGGAACAGATTTGGAATAACTTAGTATCACTTGTTCACCAATAGGCCCTCTGGGGTGAATGGGTGCCGTCAGAATGAGAGTCCAAAATACAAGTTCAATCTATAATAACATTTCTTCCAGGTAAAAAGTCCATGCCTTGTTCTCTCACATCAAAATGCACTGACGTTTCTTTAGAACCGTTTTCACTTAAACAGTGCTTAATCTGTGCATATTTCTCTCCTGATTCAGACAAGATGTGTTTTTACACAAGTTTGTTTGTGTTTAACACCATGCCAGCTTCTGTGGCTATTTTCATGGCGAGAAAAACTTACTACAAATTATATTAGGTTTTTAAAATGTATTGTATTTTTCCACTACAGACAGCAATATTATGGATAGAGGACTCATATTTTAGCCAAAAGCAACGGCTTGAGGTTAAAAACCACCTTAGTGGTTGAACTCTTGACTCCTGAAAACCGGATTTGAAGGAGATTCTGGCATTTTTTGAAAGGTATTTGAGCAACTTTGTTTGTTTGATTTTTCTTGTAAGATTTCTTCATCTGTTTGATCGTCAGTCAAGTAAGTTTTTGTCTGTCTTCATCTTTTCATGATGGACAGTGCGTTGTGAACTACTGGTTCATTTTCTGTTCTGTTTCTTCATTTTTAAGCAACAAAATACAAACAAAAAAATTGAGATTGAGATCGAGAAAATTGAATATATTTTTGGGGCTTTTTATTCCTTTTATTAATTTAGACAAGGACAGTGGAGAGATGACAGGAAAGTATTGGGTAGAGAGAGGGGAGCGGGACAAGCCTAGGCAGGGAGCCTAGGACCTCGAGATGGGAATCAAACTCGGGTCGTGTGAACAGTTGTGCTGTATTTGTCAGCGCACTAACCACGAGGCTATCAGCGCCGACATGGATTACTGTTTTTATCAGTTGTTTGGACTCTCATTCTGACGGCACCCATTCACTGCCAAGGATCCATTGGTGAGCAAATTATGTAATGCTAATTTTCTCCAAATCTGCTCTGATGAAGAAACAAACTCATTTACATCAGCAAATTTTTATTTTCAGGTGAACTACTCCTTTAAGGTATTAACAGGGAGAGGGTGAAAAGGGGCAAACAATGCAAAAAAAAAAAAAAAAAGTCTATGAGAGTCATAATAGTTGCCTTTTATATTTAGGTATCACATAAACACAATGGAATAAAAGTCTTTTATTGATTAGCCATGTCATTATCCATGTTCCCAAAAGAAGCCGCACAGGCTAACAAACAATGACGTTGCTTCAATAGAGAGACTACCTCCAGATAACATAGAAAAGATTTCTGTCTCTGTGTATACCTCATAAACCCCATCTACCCCCCACCCACCCCTGCTGCATCCACACCCTTTTTGGAACAATAGTGACATTGAAAACTGCTTCTCCTTACTCAACTTTAAGCATTTTGTAAGAATGCATATAATTTTTTGTACTCCCAACAACCACCATTTTAACTGATCATATAAAAAGCTACACATTGTTACATTTTCAGTCAGATTACATAGGAACTGAGATTAGTGTTGTACACTAGCACGTGATAAAGATCCAGAAACCAATGAGGCAAGTCCACTACAACTTAACACTATAGAAGACATAAAAAAAAAAGAAAATAAAAAATATGTAATACAAATTAAAATGGCAGAAACAAAAAAAAAAGATCAGGTTTAAAAACCAAGCTAGGGTCAGTACCATGAAAAAAGACTGATTTAAGGAAAAGGGGGAAAAAAAGAAGAAAAAAAAAGGTTAAAATAGTTCCATCTTAAAAGATCCTTTTCATGTGCACTCATCAGCATCCGCGTCACAATCCCTCTGTACTTGCATTTTTCCATCCAGGGCAAAAACAAAAAAAAAGGGTCGTAGCATTAAAGGGAGACTGATATCCACCATTTCCCCGTTAGATATCTCCCTTTCGTCTGCGACAAGTGTGTGTTGTGCGTCAGGCACTTTCTGAAACACTAGCCCACCCTCTGGCAAACCTTCCACGACTCTTCAAATCACAATGCAGATTCATTCAACATACAGCTGTGGAGACACAGAAGATAATCAATGTTCATTTAACTCAAACTTAAGCAGAATACAGTGAACACTTTTGTTCAAGTTTTTGAAGCTCATCTTACCTTCAATACTTGTAGACTGTGAATGTTTAGAGGTCCGTGTCGAACCAGGCCAGCTGATTGGAGTCTGTAGGGGGCAGGCCATCCATCAGGTCCTGAGCGTGGCCCAAGTCGGGCAATCCTTCTACGGGGTACTCTGCCCCAGGATGGTGGCCTCCCATCTCATGCTCCAGCATGCCATCCATACCCAGACCATCCTGACCGTAGCCAGAGTGGAAAGAACGATAGCTGGGGTCTAAAAAGGATGAGAGATCGTGAGTCTTGTTTAAATAAATGTCTAAATGATAAATAAATAAATAAATATATAAATAAATAAATAAATAAATGCTGTCAAACGTGACATTGAAGACTGGAGTAATGATGCTGAAAATTCAGCTTTGTCCCTTTCTGCTGTAATATTCAAGAACAGGTCTGAGCGCTAATGCTAACTCCAGGGCTAACAGGATTAGCCTTATACTGACCTAACTGACTCATCTGGCAATGGAGCAAATACTAATTCTTCATATATGCTTTCTCTCAAACCTGCTTATATTGATATCAGGAGGAAGGAATATTACATTCACATCCACATTATATTCTGCACTAATATATATATATATAGATATAGATATAGATATATATATATATATATATAATGCATGTTGTTATTTATTAAAGTGTGATTAAAATGAAACTAACTTCTGATAGTTAAATAAAACTAGTTCAAATAAACAAGAGCAAAAAAGTTAAACATTTAAAAAAGTTAAAAATTTAAATTAAAATGTTTAAAACTTTAAGCAAACATTTAATAAACATAAAACAAACATAAAATAAATAAAAATGTCTTACCATCTGGTCTGTATCCAAGAGGCTCTCCCTGAGCACCAATATCAAGGCCTAGGTCACCAGTCTAAGACAAAACAAAAACATTTTTGGTTTATAAAAGTGGATTCATACAGCATTAATGGTCTTCATCCGAGAGCAGGTGAATGGTTGTACCTCGTTCCAGGCCATGGGCTCCGTTCTGAAAAGAGAGCTGGTAAGTTCCACAGAAAGACGTTTCTTGTAGTCCTGAGGCTTATCCTCAGACATGCGGAACAGAACTGCTGCAGCGTATGTGGCTATATAGAGATAAGTACACGAGAGAGTCAAGATTAATAGAAAGCTTCTGTGTCCTAGACCTCTTACACCCTGTAGCTGGTAATACAATCCACACCAAAGAAAGAAATTGGAAAGATTTGTCCACTGATATTAAGAGATTTTTTGTTATAATGCTGTATGGTATCTGTCAATAGGGGGCAGTCACTCACCCACTCCCTCGTTCCTGGAGTGCAGCAGCTCTGTGAGAGGAGCCGTGGCTCCTTCTGCCTCAATGGCCTCTGCTGCCTCCTTATCTTGAGCCAGCTCACACAAAACTCCTGCTGCTACCCGCTGGATGTTCTCAATAGGAGAATACAGCAGCTACAGAGCAAAAGAAACACTTTAAGAAACTCACAGGGCTTACGAGATCACAACGGCAGCTGTCTTGCATGTAGAATGTGCAAACATAGGCAATCGGCAAGTTAGTCATACTTGTACGAATAAGGGGATAGTGTTGAGCCCCCTGATGACGATTCGGTTGTGTACGTCTCTGGCCAGGATGTGAAGTGCTCCAGTGCAGCCTTCCACAATCTCCTCCATACGAACTCCCTCCTGAATATTACAATCAGACAATTAGTGTCACTTAATTTTCCTCAAGTAAAGAAAATGCCTACAAAATCCAAACTTAACTCACCACAAACTGTTGCTGTGTGCCGCCCATTGAAGTGCGCCTTTGGGTGTCCTGGTGTGCCCTCACCAGCAATTGGACCAACCGGGGAATCGCACCCTGCTCTCGGAGTGGTGCGTGATTGGCTGGGCATAGCGCTAGATTACGGATCAGCCCGACTGTGGCCTAGAAGGATGTGGGAAGACTTGTTAAAATGTGCAATATTTCAAAAGATCATGCGCAGAAAAACTGGCCACATACCTTAATTAACGGCCAGTGTGAGGGTGGGTGCAGCAGTTTGACCACTACAGGTAGGCCGTAGTGAAGACGCACTGCATTCTGGGCCATCTCAGCATCTTGGTGTCTGGATGTTAGATGGCGTAGCGCACAAACAGCAGGTTCGGTGATGTCCTCTCTGTCGCCAGCTCTTAGAACAGTACGGACCAGGGCCTCGATTCCACCCACTTGGCAAACCATCATCTTGTTCTTGTAGTTGTTACACGTGAGGTTGGAGAGTATGCCGGCGGCACATGTGACCACATTGATGTCATCTGAAACAAGAAGCTGAACCAGAGTGCCAAGAAGTCCTTCCATCCCTTCCTACAAGGCAAAATGTTACTTTAATAAAAGTTTTTCAAATATTCATAACATCAAACCGAACTGTTAATGGTTTGCATGAATTTACCTGCTTGGTGGCAGCATCTGACAAGTTTCTGAGAGTCCACAGGCAGTTTTGAACCAGACGCTGACTGGGATCTGTCAAGTGAAGACCAAGAGCTTGCATACCACCTAAAACGCACATACAGTAGAAGCATAAGATGAGACCCTGACATAACATACATGAACGCATACTTAATTGGCACAAGCGGAAATGAACGTACCAGCCTCAACAATGGCAGGTTTGCTGCTGGAGCAGACAGACAACACCTTCAGCACACGACTTGTGGTCCAGAGCAGTTTCTCATAGGTGTATGTTCTCATGATGTTGACCAGAGCTTGAGGTCCTCCACTGGCCAGGATGATCAACTGTGGTGGCAAGAATTGAGACAAATTAACATGAGTACATCTAGTACATTCTTCCCTCCAGTTAGCAAGACCAATTCATGCAATGTATGTACCTTGCTCTCCTGGTTGCCGTATGCCAGGATCTGTAAGCAGTCTGTGGTGATGGCAAGGAATTTGACATTCGTTTTGTTGAGCAGGGCCACCATCTTCTGAAGTCCTCCAGCTAGACGGACAGCCATTTTAGCACCTTCCTGATGAAGCAGGAGGTTGTGAAGGGTGGTGATGGCATAGAACAGCACACTATCAACAGGGGACCTGGAAAACCGATCATGTAATATCCATTTAGTGGAGAACTGGTACAAGTAGGACAGCACATGGAAGGATTAAACCTTCAGCATCATGTTCAAATGTAGTAATTCAAGACTAAAGCATCCGTGCACCAGATTTCCTGCTTTGGTGCCCTTACCCGAGCATCTTGACGAGGGCAGGAATTCCTCCTGACTTAAAGATAGCGAGGAGGCCCTCTCTGTGATGGGACAGGTTGTGTAAGGTGCCGGCAGTACAACGGGCAGTCTCTACATCATTGGTGTTCTGCATGGTCCTCACGATTGCCGACACCATCTGGGGAGAGCGCATGATGGCGTGGCGAGAGGCCTCTTTCTTGGAGAGCTGGTGCACCATCACTGCGGCTTTGTTCACCACCACCTGGACAGGAAGAGTGAATAAGGAGGAAGTGAGATTTGAACTTGCTTGGCTACTTGTCATTTAGCAGTGCAACTGCAGAGAAAATCTAGAGTGAAGGGACTAATTTGCTTGTCAGATGCAGAAATCTTTCAAGGGTCACTTCAAACTAGTGATTTTCTCTACCAATCTCAGATCTGCCAACAGGAAACCACTACCTTATGCAAATGACAACATCCAAAAGCAAAACTTAAGGTGATTCAGACAGAACTGTCATTGCTTCAAACTTTAAGTCACTATATGGCTAAAAATAATCTTAATGAAGGCTCTTTTTGCTAAAAGATCTTCCATTTTTAGCTTCAGCTGCAAATAAATGTTTCCTGAAGCAGGAAAGCGTGTCTTGTCAAAGGAAATCGCAATTTTGATGGCTTAACAAGCATGAAGTACGGGACGTTTCTAACCTGGTCCTCATCGTTGAGAAGTTTGGTGAGCTCAGGGATTGCTCTGGTGGCCAGTTCAGCATCATCCTGGTAGTTAATGAGATTGACAACGGCATGTTTGAGCATTTGGGAAGGCTCGGCCAGCCGCTGCACATTGGTGGGGTGGGAAGAGTCAAACTGGGTAGAAGTAATCTGCATGCCCTCATCAAGAGTCTCAGGAAACATGGCAGCACGGACACGCTGTGCACGGGTCATGGCATACTGCCCATCCAGGTCTAAGAGAGGAAGTTTGTGATTAGCCAGATATGAAGCAGGCAGAAAAAGGGCAAGACTGAAAATATCCAGTTAGAGGGGCTTCCATTTTTTCCTAATGCAAACACCATGTGTTGGAAGCAAATACTGCCACATACCTGCCACCGGCTCAGGTGTGAAGGGCTGGTTGAAGCCCTGCTCCCACTCAAAGAGCACCTGGTTGTCCAGATCCTCCTCCTCAGGGTTGCCTTTGCCTGACAGAGACGGCGCTGTGGTGGTGGCCCCAGAGTGAATACCTGAATCCAGGTAGGACTGCTGCTGCCAGTGACTCACAGCGACTTTACGATCCTGCTCCATGGCCATATCAAGCTCCATAAGGTCAGCTACAGGACATAAGACATCAATGTCAGACATTCAATTTAAAGTTCTTCCAGACAGAATGTTTTTTTTAGTCTACTCTAAAGTCTCATGATCATGCAATATTCCTACACCCTATTGAATTTGCAGTTAAGATATTGCATATTTCAACACCTGCAGCTGCAATGACCTCTATTAAAAGCATTGCCGCTATTTTTTAGTGCCATATCAGCAAAGGCTATATTCATGAATAAGTTCTACACCATTACAATTAGGACTTCTAGTCTGCAATTAACCGTGGTTAACTTATAACTAAACTGAAATCTTAATTTTAAATGCAAAATTTGGAAATGCTATTCCAATTCCATAGCAATACAAACAGCATTTAGTATTCTTGGCGATATACTGGGTCTGTGAGGGTTAACCGAAATCATTCAGTAAATAAACCTGTTCTTTATCAGCTCATCCGTGTTTGTGTCTGCATCAAGCAGCAGTCATTGGACAAACATGCTGATAAACCGACAGGTTAACTTAGAAAAATACTCACACTGGGTAGCCATCGTTGCGTCAATCCCGCAGCCTGAGCGACGTCCAAACCTGTAGAAAAAAAAATTCAACCGATAAGGACAAAAATAAAACTACATAACAGAACTAGTCAAGCACAGAAAGGTCAAGAAAGAGTTCCATTTTACAAATTAGCAGCAACATTTGTCTATTCCCCCCTCAGACACCAGCTGTTTTACAAGCGAGAAAGAGGCTTTAAGCTACATTACAGACCCTAAAGGTAGTGTTAACTGTGGGAAACTCCCCTCATTTAGTCTGTAGGGTGTCACGCGAGAAGTCGATAGAGGGAGACGGGACGATGAGTCATCTTGGCAATGCCAGTAAAAACATGCTGAGGGGGGTTAGTCAGCTTCATTCATCCAAAGCTGATGAGAACAATACGGCATCAAGCACCACAAATTATGCGATTATAAACAGCCCGAGGACACGAAACCAACACCGATCTTAAGTTTCTTATTAGGATCTCAACTTAATAAAATCAGATTTACCCGTTTCGCTATTAATGCGGCACATTTCACTACAGGCTGCAGACCATTATTCTGGGATAATGGGATAGACCCAAATTACGAGAAAAAAAAGAAAACAAGCAACAAGTTTCACAAAAATGTGTAGCCAAACCTTTTTAGGTTTTAAATAATCAGCCATTAACTTATAGGTGACTCGAGCTGAAAACTCTCACCCGACTGTACATTCAGGGGGTGGGGAGTTTAGATCACTACAGAAACAGATATGTAATTTGCAAGCAACTAAAAAAAAACAACGAACATACCCTAACATGTAGGGTCACACAGAAAGGAAATGATTACAAGAAAACAAAAGTGCATGAAGTAAATACTAAACCACCAACTAGACTATTTACAATTAAGCATGAATTATTTAAAATGCAAAAAAAACAAAAAAACAACAGACCTTTCCTAGGGGTATTTACACGAGACACATTCTTGTTCAAAAGCAGCTGGATGGAGTGCAACAACTGAACAGAACACAGTGACCTCAAAACAGATTTTAAGAAGTTGGACTATTTTTTAACTTGACACACTGTCGAAAAATGCAACCTTCATGTTGCAAGATGCTTAAGTGTAAATGACTGCGATGTTTCCAAGAGGTTTTTACGTGACAGAATGCTGACAGCATTATTCTGTGCTTTAACTGTTATTTAAAGAATGGTACAGCAAGAAAAAAAAAAAAACGGCATGGTTTATAGTTGACCAAAACCTTGGGTCAGTAAGCTTTTGTAATGGTTTTATAAAGTAGTCTCTTATGCTTACTAAGGCTGCATTTATTATATTGTGATTCCATGTTACTAGCATTACAATTTTAAACTGTCTTATTTTAATCCATTTTAAAATGTGATTTCTTCCTGTGATGGTAAAGCTGAAGCAATGGCTGCTGAAAATTAAGCGTTACGTGATCCTTCAGAAATCATTCTAATATGCTGATTTGGTGCCCAAGAAACATTTCTTATCAATGTTAACAGTTGTGCTCTTTAACATTATTGTGGAAACTTTGATTAATTTTTGTCAGGATGTTTTGAATAGAAAGTTAATTCATGTATAGAGGTCGACCGACATGGGTTTTTCACTGGCCAATGCCGATGCCGATATTTAGAAATCAGGGAAGCCGATGGCCGATATATGATGCCGATTTTTTTGGCCGATTAAATTTTTTTTTTCTTCATCTCATAAAAGTGAGTTTGTGTAAATGATTATTGCAGGGTACAAGATAGTAATAGTAGTAAGTAGCCTAATTCAGAGTAATAATACATGGCTCAAAACTTAAGCACCTTCTCAAAACAGTTCTGAAGCATGCTTGTTTATGTTGGCTGACAGACACCAGTGTTTCCCACAGACTTGCAAATGAAAATTAATTCTCTGCCAGCAGGAGGCGCCGTTGGAGCGAGAGATAGAGCGGTTTCCCCGGTAACGGCTGTAATCAAATAAGCACTGTGCTCAGTCACAAACGCTACTTTATCAGGCATTACATGAAAGACTAGGGATGCTTCACACATAGTGTTCAAATTAGGATCTGTAATACTTTCAAATGTTTTAAAAGAAGTCTCTTCTCAGCAAGGCTGCTTTTAATTCTACAGAAAAAAAAAAAAAGGCCAAAAACTGCATCGCATGTCTTCAATGAGAAGAGGAAGTGGTGATTGTTGCTGGTTACTGTATGATGATTGAAATCGTGAAATGGCCTTAACGTTCTGCAGTTTATTTACTAATTGTTTATGTTTTCTAATACACGCACGCATTGCATGTATTCTGACAGCGCTGCACGAGCTCGCGGTGCTATCTGCTCGTTAGCCAGGGTTCAAAGTCGCCTCAATGTATGTGAAACACTGGACACTGCTATAAGTCAAATGGCCAAGTGATAACAAAAATAAAAGTTCACTGGCCACATCGGACCTACACACACATTTCATGAGGAAAGTTAACATGCACGCTATAAACAGCCCAGAAGTTTCGTTTGAATTGCATGTTTCTACTTTCACATGCAAATGACTTGTTGCACTTATGAATATGATAACTTTCCGGCATCAATTCTAGTAGGATAAAACGTAATTACGCTTTTGAAACGGTCTATTTTGCCCTGCCATCATTAGCTGAAGCTGTGTGTGAACAAGAAGCGGCTGCAGTCAGTGTGTGAGTTGCTCAGTGTCTCACGCAGCCAGAGAGAGATTCTCCGGTGTTCCGCAACAACGCTTAGCTGCCCGCAGATGCGCCTGCCTATAAATCGGCCTAATTTGCAGCACAATCGGCTGATGCAGATTTAAAAAAAAAAGCCAAAAATCGGCCGATCAATCGGTCGACCTCTATTAATGTAGAAAAAAATAAAATAAAAAAATCTCTTGTAACAAACATCTCAACTAGGGGTGTTCATTATGACGATTTTTGATCATGGATGATAAAAATGTATCCACCATCTGCTTTTGAAGAAATATCGCAGTATCGTGCTACAGTGTACATTCTATCAGTTACAGTTCTGGCGCCTCCATCTTAATATACTGTACAATGCGACATGCATTCACATCAGTGTTAACTCAGCGGTACAGTTACTTGCACTGCACTTACTCGCAGTCACAAAAGTACATTATTTGCATGTGCTTTAAAGTGTATTAAGTTACTGTTACTGGTTAAATGTTTAATTCGCGTGCTGTTCTGACGTGCGCTTTTTCTAAGTGCGTACACCCGAAGCGCGCTCACTAAAAAGCCTGTCAAACAGCACCTGATTACTGAACTAAGTTATCTTTTGAGTTAATACAGTCAAAACACACAAGGTTTACATATAGACTCAGTTGGTTTATGTCTAAAATTAAAGTAAACCGTTGAGAGAAAAACGAATGCATGTCTGTATATTAGATGCGTGCAGCTCTTAAAGGGACAGTATTAAACATGCTGCCGCTTGTCATTAAAGGGATAGTTCACCCAAAAATGTATTCTTTGCCATTATTTACTCACTCACATGTTGTCCCAAACCTGTATTCATTTCTTTCTTGTGCTAAACACAAAATATGATATTTTGAAGAATGTGGGTAACCAAACAGTTGCTGGTCCACATTGAATTTAGGAAAAATACTATGGAAGTCACTGTGGACCAGCAACGGTTTGGTTTTCCACATTCTTCAAAATAGCATTTATGTTCAGCAGAAGAAAGAAACTCATTCAGGTTTAAAACAACTTTTGAGTGAGAAAATGATGGTATAAAAATAAAACACTATGACAGAATTGACAAAGATAACAGAATTTATTTTTTTAGGTGAATTATTCTTTTAATGGTAATAAAACACCAAAACACAGAAAAATCACTCACTACTCTTGACTGAAAAAATTTAATACAGTTGCTTTAGGAATCTCTATATATATATATATATATCTACATCTAATCTATATATCTATATCTATATATCTATATCTATATCTATATATCTATATATATAGTGTTTTATTTATTTTTTGTGAATTCAATATCTTGAATGCTCTTGTTAAATACACCTATTGTACCTGAAAATAAAACATTGTTTGTTTTATTTGTATATCATGTATATTTGTAATGTGTATCTTTGTACTCATTTTTTAATAACAAAGATAAAATAAAGGACAAAGATTTTAATCTTTGCCCACTTTGGCCTAAATATCAGCTATTCTTTTTTTATATTTTGTTAACTTGAAAGATTTGTCTTTATAATAGGGAAATTACTTTGGCTGCAATGCTCTGCAGACAACTTGCAAAACCAACATGACAAAGAATTATGATAAAATCGTGATATTTCTCTAAAAAAAGAAAAAAAAAGCAGGTGATATGATATTTTTGCCATATCGCCCACCCCTAAGCTCAACTGTCTCCTTGCTGAATCTTATGGCGCTTTTCCATGGTACGGCTCGGTACAGTTCACTTTTGGGGGGTTTTCCACTGGGTACAGTACCTGGTACTTTTTTTAGTACCACCTCAGTTGAGGTTCCAAGTGAACCGTACCGTTACCAAAACGTGACGTGTAAACTCTGCTGATCACGGATTGGCCAGAGAGAATAGTCACTACTTGCGTCACTGAACTTGCGACACAAACACAACAGAACTGCTAGATTTAAATCAGCACAGCCAGCGAAGGATCGAACGCAACTGTTTTGAACAAGCGCACCTTTTTTAACAACCAAAAAGTGGCTGTTTCGTTGTATGTTGAGGAAGTACAGACGTTCCTCTCGTTGATAGCAGAGGAGCGGATCCAGCGAGAGCGTGATGGGGCTACGTGGAATGAAAGTTTTTCAGGAGTCGCGTCAATAGAGGCGGCGCAACTAACGACATGTGAATAATCCCGCCCACTCTAAAGCGTTACTGAACTGCAGTGGAAACGCAAACCGAGCCGAGTCGTACCGAGCCGAGTCGTACCACGCAGTGGAAAAGCGCCATTAGTGAACCCAAACCTTTGAATGGTAGTGCATTTGCTAGAGAACATGTAGGTGTCTGAAGTTAAATCACAGTGCTATAATGACCTCTCTAAACCTCAGATGCCTGGAATTCTCCAGAGTCTCGCGCAGAGC